TAAATTGAGCTGTGCCAACCATGCCGAGAACAGCTCTTGCCAGGCAGCAGGTTCTACTTGAGACATGCTCGAAGAATGACCAGAGTTCAAGATCCAGTCTTTAGCTCCATCCTACTTACGTGTACCTCCACCCTGATTTTCAGACCCTCTTACATATCCCTTAACAAATAAATGGTGAAATGAAATAGCATTTTAAAGGAATGCTGGGGCTCCACTCAGTGCCTGGAACTTGGCAAGTGTGAGGCTACTGAGCTACACTGCCAGCCCTTGCAGGAATGGCTGACGATTTATCTGAGTTTTACTCTCACCCCAGTAAAGGAGAGTAGTCACAGAACAGAAGACAGCCTCTTCACTCTCTAATTTCCACTGCATGATCTGGCTTCATAATAAGAATGATTCGCTTGGAAGGTGTCTTAGTTAGGGTTTTACTGCTGTGAAGAGACATCATGACCAAGGCAACTCTTATAAAGGAAAACATTTAATTGGGGCTGGCTTACAGGTTCAGAGGTCTAGTCCATTATCATCCTGTCAGGAAGTATGGGAGCGTGCAAGTAGACATGGTGCTGAAGAAACTGAGTGTCCTACATTTTGATCTGAAGGCAATAGGAAGAGACTGTCACACTGGGTGTAGCTTGAGCATAGGAGACCTAGAAGCCCACCTCCACAGTGACACAGTGACACAGTGAAGTTGACTTCCTCCAACAAGGCCACACCTACTCCAACAAGGCCATATACCTCCTAATAGTGCCACTCCCTATGGATCAAGCATATTTAAACTCATGAATCTGTGGAGGCCACACCTCTTCTAACTGCAACAAAGAAAACATCCCAAAGTTCCAGACCTGATGATTATCATTCTATGCACTTGCTCTTCCTTCACTCTCCTTCAATCATTCATTTTTTCATTTTTCATTCCGCATCTCCTACTTCACACAGAATAGACTCTGGTCACAGTCTCTTCTCTGCAACACCAAACGCAAAATGTGCTGCAATTTTTCTCAACTTAAAATATCCCCTTGATACTTATAGCCCACAATTTTTTTTTTCCTCTAAGCAAATCTCAGTTCATGAGCACTGTCTCTAGTTCCTTTCTCTCATTCCTGAAAGCCTCCAGGACCTGCCTCTCATCCTACTCTGCCATTGTGTCCCATAAACTCCTGGCCTGTCACCAAAGTCTATGGCTGTCATTCTCACCCTTGCTCAAGCTAAGAAACTCCACACAGCTGTTCTCTATTCTGTCATGAAGCAACTTGTAACTTGCTTCTGGAAGATAACCTTGAGTTCCAACCCCACCCACTCCTAGACTTCTAATTCCTTTCCTGATTCCTTCTTGTTCAGAGTTCTCTAAGTGACAAGAGACTCCAAGATTCTATCTCTGGGCTCCTTTTCTCTCTTAGTTGCCTGCTACATGATTATAGTCATATGACACAGGTGCTAGCTAGACAAATTAAAAAATCTATTCTGTCCCTGTCCCTAGACTCCAGACTTGCATAACCAGCTATGAGATCCTTCTCTTTGAGTATCCGCTAAACACCTAAAACATCGCTCTTACTAGAGACCCGATTCCATTCTTGATTCATATTTCCATATTCTTCCCATCCCTTCTCCATATGCCTTCTTCTGCATTCAGCAGCAGCTGAAGTCCTATAATGGCTGGTGAATCAAGGATCATCAGGATTTGGCCCCAAAACATCTGACCTAATGTCCTGTTCCATGCCCACACCCCTAGGCCCCACCACAGCCACACTGGCGGTTCTGCAGTTTTTGAGCATAAACAAAATTCAGAGCCTTTGCCTTGGATCCCTTTCCTTCAGTTATGTCCATGATCTGCAAGCCCTACTTCTTCAGATCTTGTCAATGAGCTCCTGCATAAAAGGGTGAAGTCCCAAACATCAGAGATCCCTATGTTTCATCTCCAAGTTATGTCTGCCTGGTCAGGCATGCTCTCATCTGTTTTATGTTCCCGTAACAGAATACCACACACTGAATGTGTAGTATAAGCAACAGAAGGCGGTTTGGAGATTGGGAAGTCTAAGATTGAGAGGCTGCATCTGCTCAGGGATTTCTATATTAGAGCATGGCAGTTGGTATCGAATGGTTGAGAGACAGAAGGAGGTGGTACTCAAGCTCTTTGATAATTGGCATTAATCCATTTATAAGAGTAAAGTCTCATGACCTAAGGTTTTGGAGTATGAGGTGGGGGAGGGTGGTCAGGGGACATAGTCAAAACAAAGTAGTATTTACCATCACTTGGTGTATATTTCTTGTCTATTTGTTTATAACCAGTAACTCTCAACCTCTAAATAAGCTCTTTGTTCTGTTTATACCTTCTGGCCAAGTACTTAAATTCTTATTGAAAAAAAGTCCTGTTATGTGTATTTTTTCTAGTTAGTGGCTAGGTGGCAATGACTTAGAATTGCTTCTATATTCAATTTGAAAAAGACATGGTGTTATTATTATTAATGATGGGACTAGATCTCAACAATGAGCTTGCTGTCAGAAACCACGAATAGATAAAAGATGGTAAGGAAGTGCAGGTGAGGCCCTGGCTGTGGCTGCTCCCAGATCTGTCAAGGGTTGGTCCTTCTCTGAGGTAGGTGGCTCTAGCAGAGGCAAGGGAGTATCATTCTAGGCTCCATAACTTCCTATGTGCATGAACCACCTTCATTCTTCCCCAGTTTGCCCTTGTGTGGACACATAAATAGTATGCAAAGGTATGTGTGTAGGCATGCATGAGCCATAGCATATATAGAAGTCACAAGGACAACCATAGGTCCTTGCATCCTACCTTCTTTGAGAAGGGATATCTTTTCATTGGATGTTGCTATGTACACAAGGCTACCTGGCCTGTGAGCTTCCAGAGATTCTATTTCTAACTCCCATCTAGCTTAGGACTCTAGGTATATATGACCACACTTGATTGCATGTAGGTTCTGGGGATTCAAACTCAGGTCCTCCTGCTTGTGGCAAGTACTTTTTCCTACTAAGCAATCCTTCCAGCCTCACTCAGTCTGTCCTTACTAGTCCCAACCCCATAACCAGGAAGTAATGAACACTCCTTAGAAACTCAACATCAGCCTGTGGATCTAGTATTAGAGACATGTCTACGTAAAAGGCATAAAACTTGCCTTTATAAACAACCTTCTCTACATGTGTATTCCACCAACAGCAGGTTGAAAATGTGTGGAAATACCTGAGTGTCTGAATGGTGTAGACCTTTGCTGGTTATTCCCTAAAGAATGCAGTGTGGCAACTATTTACATAACATTTGCATGATATTAGGTATTATAAGTAATCTGGAGATGATTTAAGGAAAATGAGAGGAAGCACAGATGCTGTATGTAAATGTCACCCTATTTTATAAGGACTTAAGCCTCTGCATATTTTTGTGTCCACAGAAGATATCATAGAACCAACTGAGGTGCTATTGTAATCTGTATTTCCCTCATTTTATTTATCTTTTCTTGATTCCACAAACAACATGTACTCAGATTGAAATTAAGACTACACTATCATTTTTAAAAGATAACTAATGAAATTACAAAATGGGTCTAGGTCTTATATAAAGGGATACTATACTATTTTTTTATTAGTTCTAGTGGGAACCTCTCAAGTCAGTGTGACTTTTGACACTTTTGAATCACAGACAGTGCTAAGCTACCTTGTGTATTTTGGGAGAAAGATAACTGATTCTACTCACAGGTTGTTATTGCAACAACACATTTTGTGCTGCTGAGTGTTCTGAGGAGAAGCCCTGAGTCAGCTCTGAGGCCCATGTCAACTGTGCAATCTTCCACAACTAACCTTCTTCTCCCACTCCAAGACTTTATATGATTTCTTTTCATGAAAACTATTCTCATTTAACTTCCTGTGTGGCAGTAAACCTCACCTGCTCCAGAAGACTTCCAGACTCTCTGACCAAATAAAAATGATTGAATATGTGATGTGCATTGGCTCAGAGTATGTGCTTGGCAGAGGAAGGCTGGATCATTTATCTAGCAGTTATGGTTTCATTATCCCCAAGAAGCTTAAAATGTACAATCCTTTCTTTTTAGATCCAACAGACTCCCTGGTTTGTGTATACAATTCCCAAAGACTACAATCTCTCCCCCAGGCAGTCTGGATGGGGTCCTATAAGTAAATACTCTGGTCTTCTGGCTTCTTTCTTGAGTTTTATGTGTCTACAAGGGTCCTGGTGTTTGGAAAATGTAGGCCTTCACGCTTAAGGATCAGATCCATCAACTTCCCAGCAATGTGAAGGCTTAGAACCTTTCTGGGTCTTGGTAAAATCTGAAACTTGAGGTTGCTGTTATTTCTCAAAGTTGTCCCAGTTCTTAAATGGGGAGCCTCTAGGTCTTAAGATCTCTCAACCAACATGCACAAGGGCTCACAAGAGAAAACAGGAGAGAAATTTAGAACAGAACTTTGAGGGCAAGAGAGGAGAGGCCTCTTGGTACTTTGGAATTGGAAGCTGCTATCTGTATAAACACAATTCCTATGAGCTACTATAATGCATACAGTAGAGTTCTGGTGAGATAAAGAAGCAAATGCAATCCCAGCCTATAGTGTAATAGTGCCGACTCTACTGGTAAACAACCTTCCCTCACTGTTCATCTAGAAAACCCTAAAACAAACTTAAAGATTACAGATAGAAAATGAAAGTAAAAGTGAACTCCTCCTATTATAGCAACAGCTGGGTCACTGACATGGCCTTTAAAATAAAGAATGTAAAAGTTCCATGGAACGAGAAGATGTAACAAGGAGCCTGGTTCAGCACTTGGCATTTTCCAGATCTATAGCTATAAAATACATGCTTAATATATGCCAACTTAATAGTTCTCCCTTCTTTCCTATAGACTCAATGTTCCTGAGAAACATATACAATTAAGTAGATGATATATTTCTTTAAAATGTAAACAAGAATGTTTGAGGTAGTACATTTTTTTGTGAATATGTGGGATGCAGTTTACCTTTAGGAAGTGAAAAAAACAAACACTGACCTGAATTTAAGTCTCGTCCAGGGTTGAAGGCTCGGCTGTTCACAGTAGTAGAGAGTCGATCACAACTCACGGTTCTTGATACATTGGTATTGAAGTTCCCATCAAACCTGAAACAACAGAAAAGGATTAGCAGTGCATAGCTGGTGAGCTTCTCATCTAGGAAAAACAACTGATAAAAACATTCATTCATATCGTGTATGAATAGGCCATCCCATAAGCAGTAGTATGGTGACTTAACAAGAACAACCAAAAATTAAAATTTTATCCTAAATAATGTGCTGTGGAAAAGGTGTAACAGTTGCTAGAAGGCTTAGAAGTCAAGTTCAAATGCTAGGAGATTAAAGAGAACTAACCTTTAAAAGCAATTTTAATTCTAGGAACTTGATCTATTACTGCTGATAAAAGCATATGAAAAGCAGATGACAAGATTCAGGCTTGAGCAGTGACATAGCTATGAAACAGGTTTTCACTATATTGTAGCTGAGCACCAATGGCCCAAGTCTAAGGACAGTAGTAAAGGGATGTACAAACTGTGGAGTAGAAATATCTCTGTCCTATCACTCACAAATGAATGTCTGACATTGAGACACATAGTTTTTTTAACCTGAGAATAAATAAATAAATAAAATTTATCTTACAAAGTTTTTTTTTTTAAGGGTTAAAAGTAATGTGTGGATATGCTTCTCTTGGTATCTGATTCAGAACTGGCCCCTACCCTGTCATCATACATAGAAGTCTCTTGATTTCTTGTAGAAGTTCAGTATTAGTACAAAAGACAGGACAGTGCTAGTACCCACGCTGATCATGGGTAGAGCCAGTACCAGAAAACATTTACTCCAGAAAACAATAATTTGAAAGAATATACTCAGACACACACCTGTAGTGAGAATTTTCTTTTAAATCCAGTCATATTATCTGAATGTTTTTGTTTTAATCCCAGGTATGGGATATGAGGCTGCTTACAATTGTTATCAGGCAGCTAACCCTGATTTGTCTCATACTCTGGCAGAGGAGTAATTCTGCTAGCTGAAGATAGTTTACATTTGAAATTCTGGGGACTTATCAGAAGGTATAAAAATGTCAGAACCCCAAGAGAGTGTGAGGGCTGCCTTTCACCCTGCTGTTGCTGGTTCCTGTTGCTGTGGTTGGTCGTGAGCAAAGAGACAAGAAGAAATTGGCTATCCTGATAATGAAGACCAACATTGCCCAAAGGAACTCAATGCCCCTAATCAGAAGAAAGTAGTCTAATGAGGTTGACTTCCCCTTTCCCGTCTAGTCTTCTTTCTCTTCTACCTAGTGTTAGGGGGTTGGAGGGTTGGAGAAGGAGGGTGGTAGATAAAAGAATCCAGTAAAGTAGCCAAAAAGTTAAGCTATACACACCAACATGTTTGTATAAACAGTAGGAAGGATAGATAAAAAGCTTCAGTTTCCATATATCCCATTTCAAATGTAGAGAGAGCTCCAAAGATTCCAGGAGGCAGTCAATAAACTCAACCCAATACTAGCTCTTTAAACTCTGTGGTGCATATAGTGTATACCTCATCAATTAACCAGGGAATGAATGAAATTCTATTACCAAGCTCTCGGAGGGACACTTCTAAACTCAAGATCCATCTATTCATTCATGACTTTAGATTATCTGTTGGTCAACTAATAAGAACCATTGAGCTAGATTTATGTTATAAGCAAGGGAGCTGTGTTTTCACATCAGTTTCAACCCCCCAAATTGAAGAATATTTTTTAAGTATCTTCTCAAAGATGGATTAGGTAACTGGGTGTTGAGAACACCAGCCAGTTTAGAATTCTATCGACAATGTGCATCACAGGATACTGTTGCTTCATACACAGAGTGGCTCTACTCTAGACTTGCTCCAAATTGTCTAGATGAGAAGATTGCTCCTTTTGAAGCCATGGATGGGGAGAAAGAAGAGGTTAAAATAGAGCCAGCTACCTGTGTGCACACTGGTGACACAATAAACCACAATCTCATCTTCCCTGTGCACTAGCAAACAGAAGCCCTTCCCTTCACACATGCCTTTATAGGAGGCCAGACAATAAGTATTTGGGGCCTCATGGACCATAAGTTCTGTTGGAACACTTCCACTCTGTTACTCTAGTGCACAAGTAGCCACAGAGAAACTCGATGTAGCTGTCTTCTAATAAAACTTAGTTTTCTTAAAAAAAAAAAAAATGTTTCTTCAAGTTTGGACTATACCAGGGGAACCCAGAAAAACCTTGGATGATGAATGCATGTGTTTTGATAAGTCCAGTACCATACATAGCTACTAGGCATCTGAAACGTGGCCAATATAATAGAATTCTTACTACCCTTCCTGTTTATTTAATGTCAAGTGTGAAAAGTCACTTAACTGTGGTTGTCATATTGGACAGCCAAGGTCTAGAAGGCTCTCCTTCTCCAGCCAGAAGGTATGTCTGGCTATCTTTCAGGTTACTAATTGTATATACTTCCTAAGAAAGATCTATCCTTATGTTGGATACCTTTCCAAGTATGCCTCTGTGTTCTCTCAAAAGCTTGTCATATATGTTAAATTTGTGATTCTATTTGTGGAGAGGGGGAGAGAGAGAGGGAGAGGAAGAAGGAGAGGGAGGAGGAGAGGGAGGAGGGAGGAGAAGGAGAGAAAGAGAGGAGAGGAGAGGGATAACATGTCTCTGTGAGGTAGCCAGAGGTTGTCATTAGGTATTTTCCTCTATTACATTCTACCTTAAGTTTTGAGGCAGGGTCTTTCTCCTTGCTTTGTGGCTACACTGGTTCACCAGCAAGCCCCCACGATCTTCTTGTCTTTGCTCTTTGGGTTTACATGAGCAGGTTGCTGTGCTCAGCTTTCATATGGGTTAGGGGATCTGAACTCAGGTCCTCATGCTTGTGTATCAAGCTCTTTACCCACTGGGCCATCTCTCCATTTGTGGTTTTTTTGGTTGTTGTTTTTAATGAGTGGATTTTGTGAACTAAACTTCATAAACAGATAAGAAAGGAGAAAATATATAGCTAGTTTTAATAGCTATATTTAAATAGCTAGTTTATAATCTATAATATTAAATATATAATAAATAATGAGTGTGCTATATTTACATATTTATAATATAATGTATTATATATGGTTCTATATATTATATAAATATATACTATAATATATAAATAAATATATAAATATAGTTTATAATATTAAATAGCTAGTTTAAAGGTTGTAATCATAATATTTAGCATTTTTTATTTTAGCATGTTTTCTGTAAAGTGGGTGCTTATTTTAACCCACTTTTCATGAATATTCATATGCCTACCCATTCTGAGGTGTCCAGAAGGCTCCTAATGGCTTAATGAATGGGCACTGACTCATTTGAATGATTACAAACCACTGGGCATCTAGTTACACCAGAATCACTCAGGATGGATGCTGGAGGTAGATTTTTGGACCCTGCCTTTGCAGAGATCAATTTATTCTTTTGGGGGGGATGGAATCTGAGTTTGGCTGGTTCTGAGGAACAAGAAAGCCCTTCATTGTTGTCATAACTTTTCAAAAATAAATGAAGAGAATTGCTTCCTGTATGAGCACAGGTATTCCGTAGTATATCTTAAAGATACTAAAGACAAATGGTATTTGGATTTTGTTCACCAAGGACAGAGTCTTTGGATTTGGTTTGGATCAAGAGAATCAAATAGCACCTAGGTATGCCTGTAGTTCATAGCGAGCTGCTGTCATACAAATTCTGAAGGCCCCTTTCACCTATCTATTTCACAATAGAGACAAATGAAGCAAAGGATATACAGCAAGGGAAGGAAGCAAAGGAGACTTGAATTCTGGCCCCAACTCTTTTGCTGAGACAGGACACACAACATTCTGCTTCTAAATGACACAGAAGGAAAAGCTTATTGAAAAGGGCAATTCAGGATGGTGTTTGGCACACCCTACCAGGGAAACTCTCGCTGAGATATATAGTCCTCTTGTGTCTGGGCAGGGTGTCCACAGTTAGGACACCTGCTCTGAACCCCACCCTGGGAGAGCTGATCTTGGAGGGGGTCTTTGTAAAATGAAAGCTGATTTATTGGAAGCAGGGAGACCAGGGAACTATTGTTAGGGGTTTACTTCCTCCTTGGAGCAGATCTCGAAGAGCTGTAATGAGAACATCTTCATAGTAATGAAAGCGGAAGTGGTTTGCTCACAAAAGCACTAATGCATGCACCTTTGTTGAGCATAAGACAGTTTGACGATGCATCATGTATTATTATTGTTATCTCCCAGACTTCTCTTCTGACCACACCAGACTCAGCATGTGCTTGTCTGCTGATCCCCAGTGTCCAATGGGCCTTCTCCTCAAGGCTGGCTCATCAACCTACATTCCTCCTCAGCTGCCCTTAGGATAAGTTCCCACCCAAGACCCCCACCCAACCCCAACCTGACTGGAGTTGTTCTGCTTTGTAGTTAAGATCTGGTGTCTTTTTCCTGCCTTTTTTGGGGGGAGTTGGGTAGGGGGAGAGGGAATGCTTTTTTTTATTATTTTATAATCAGATTTAACATAATGCTGTTGTCGGGAAAACTGAATTCAAGGGGGGCAAGACAGCCCTCCAGGACAGTTTCTGCAGTCATTCCCCAAAGGACACACTTTCTAATACGATCCAGTGGTGATTAGGTTTCATGAGTATAAATTTCAGGGAAAGGAAACATAAACACTGAAATGATGTCATCAATAAAAATCCAAAAATAAGATGAGCAATTTATCGTACTCATTTTAGGATTTTTTTCCCCTCTCTCAAATAAAGATTGGTTTGCCCAGCAGTGGTTGTGCACGCCTCCCTTTTATCCCAGCACCTGGGAGGCAGAGGCAGGTGGATCTCAGAGTTCAAGGCCAGTCAGTGCTACACAGAGAAACACTATCTTGAACCTCACCCTCCCACCCCACCACACACACACACACACACACACACACACACACACACACACACAAAGATTATTAGTAAGGAGAGTAATAAGCAGTTAGGAAACCCTGTTAGGCAACCTGCCCCCAGGCAGTTCTTGAGCTGTCTTTTCTCTCTGGTTCAAACTGCTTCAAGTTTCCTTGGAGCCCCTGCTGCACCTCAGCAGCTATGCAT